CGCTGCAGCAGAGCCACCGACGGCCATGCAGACGGACAGGGGAGCACAGCTTTTGGAAGATGCATCCATAATACCCCACAGGTCAATAACTTTCATCTAGGAAAAGAAAATAAAAAATAAAGCTGCATATTCTTGATCTGACAATGTCACCCCAGATGCCCCTGGCTGCAGTGGGAGCCTGAGCTGCCCAGGGCTGCCGTGGGGCGAGCAGCCGGGCCATGTTCTCCCCTTCGCATCACTAGTGGCTCTGGGACCTGTTTGGACCTCAAAGAGAAACAGCAGGAGGGAGCAGGATTAGATCAGGCTCCGGATCAGGAGATGAGCTGGGAGAACACAGCCAAGATAAGAGAGTTGTCACGGGGGGGTTCAGCTGATCGTTGTTTTGACTGATGGACCCAAACCCCGTGCCCCAGAGCTGGTGGAATTCATGTTGGGACCCTAATCCTCTCTGCCAGGTGCTTGGTGGGTGTCCCCGTCCCCTCTTCAAAGACATCTGAGGAAGAGGAGCTTGGCAGGAGCAGACCTCAGACAGAGTTATCTTTCAAATGGATTTACGGCGCGCTGACTTGGGAACGCCACAAAGTTTTACTTCCAGCGCATAGCTCAGGGAAAAAAGAAAAATCTCTCCAAGAAAACCTCTAGTCAACAGATAACACAATATGGTTCCGATTTCCTCACCCCCTCTAAATAATTGTTTCTTTTCTTTTTTAAAATTTTGTCCCAGGGAAACGTTTCTAATTTAATCCCCTGCATGCACCTTCCTCACTGCCTTTGAATGTGTATTATCTTCCAGCCAGTGCTTTGGAGCAGAGCGAGAATTTTTGATTTAAAATAAAAAGAGAAGAGAAAAAAAAGCTTAACAAGCACAATGCACAGCAAACAGGAATGGAAATGCCGGTCTGGGTTCCATTATCCCTGACCCAGAGGTTGGAAACCAAAAGAAATTAATTAAATTGGGGAGGGGGGAGGCCAGCACCATTTGCTGCCGGTGACCAGCCCGCAAGGGATGCCTGGCGGACGTCTGTCACCCATCACCCGTCACCCACGCAGGGGGGCACCCTCACCCTCGTGCTGCTACCGAAACTGCTGGCTCCCCAGCACCCACGGAGACAGACAGGGCTGCCCACCCGTGCCAGCTTGTTCACATTAGAGCCGAAGGACGGACGTGGACGGGGAGCAGACAGCGCGGCTGGGGCGGGGGCAGAGTCGCTTTTAACAGCGACTTAAAATCCCCCTGGAGGATCTGGAGGCAGGGACCCCTGGCAGAGGGATGAATGCAGTCACGGAGGGAGGATCCGAAATGGGCTTTTTGCTGCGGTGAGCCCCCGCCTGGGTGCCGGGTCGGCCCCGAGCAGGCAGGGACGGCGCTGGTGGCAAGGGACAGCGGGGCACGGGCTCTGTGGTGGGGTAAGCTCAGCGTAACCGCGGTTGTCCCGGGTGCTGGGAAGGTGAAAAGTGCCTTTTCATGGGAGGCTCCGTAATCCCGCCAAGCCAGAGAGCACACGGACGGCGTGTGCTGCTCGCGGCCAACTCACCTGCTGAAAAAATCCTGCCAAAGCGCCCTGACTGCTGGGGGCTGCCCAAGGTGGGACAGGGTCATGGGATGGGGTCCAGCCTTGCTCTGTGCATCCGACTCCGGTGTTCAATTTCAGCCGTGGGAGAAGAAAATAAAAAAATAAATAAAATGCTTCAAATAACGTCTGGCAAAGAGGTAAGCGCAGGCAGCGCCCGAGCTCACATACATGGAGATGCTCAGTGTGAAGCCGCGCCATTATCTCCCATGCCCGTCGAGACACGAACCCCCACCCGTGAACTACGCCGGATTTCGACAGACACAACCTGGCCTCCACCGTCCCCAGCCCCTCGGCGGGTTGGCCAAGCCAGGAAGGGAGATAATGGGAGTGAGATGCAGGATCGCGGCGTTCGCCCTCATCCCTCCATGTGGTAATCGGAACAAAATGTTCTTCCATTGTTCGCAGAAGAGCATTGGTTTCCAACTACGGCAAATATTTAGGAAAACACAATTGAGTCATAAATGTTATTTACAATTTGGAGTGCCCTACACGTTGCTCCAAGCCCCACAATTAAACTATTCGTCTTGGTTCGAACACGACCGGGTAACATATAGGACCTTCCCAGTCCCCGGCCAAGAGCGTTAATGTCTTGCAGAAGCGCGGCGGCTCCGAGCGATGGGCTCTGCACCTCCACCGCCGTCACGGCTTTCCCGGGTGCCAACTGCCAGCCATTGCTCCCTGCCTGCTGGCTCATCCCTGGCAAAGGCGGGCACCTCCCGGGACCCCGCAGAGCCTGCACGGCCGGTCCCGCAGGACCTCGGACCCTCCCAGCTCCTGGGCAGGAGGCCACCGGAGGGTCCTTCTGCTCCCTCCGGGCACCCCGAGCTGGATCTGCCAGGGATGGAGCAGCCGGGCAGGAAAAGCAACTGCATAGCAAGAGGGAGCCCTGTGCAAACGCGCCCTCGAATGCACCGGAGAGGGGAAGGGAGAGCTGTGCTCTTGCAGCCCCGGCAGCCCGGGCTCACCGGGACGGTGATCGGACGCTCGGACACGACACCAGGCACTCCCTCAAACGCAAGTAAGTGCCGCGACACCCAGGCTCACCTTATTTATCGCCCATCACCTCGGCCCCGTGGGAGCTGGAGCGTCCCCGGCGAGCCACATCAGGGCAGGCCCTGGGGGCCGGCACCCAGGCACTCCCTCAAACGCAAATAAGAGCCGCGACACCCAGGCTCACCTTATTTATCGCCCATCACCTCGGCCCCGTGGGAGCTGGAGCGTCCCCGGCGAGCCACATCAGGGCAGGCACTGGGGGACTGCACCCAGCGCTGGGCTGCCCTCACGGGGCTGCTGCTGTTTTCCCTTTTTAACACTTCTAGAAAAAATAAAAAAATGAGTGAAGCTCCCTCTGGTTATGCAAGAGCTGTTTGCTTTAATCCCTTTCCAGAAAGACGCTCTCAGTGGTGCCCATTCGGTACGTGCAGTCAAAAAGGGGAACGAGATGTGTGAAATGGCATTTCTGTGCCCACATCCACAGCCCGCGCTGCCCCGTGCCAGTGCCGGTGCCAGAGTTACCTGCTGCTTTGCTTTTCCCAGTTTGGACCCGTTTTCCTTTCAAAACCACGTTCGGCTGCTTTCGGCACATCTCGCGCGGGAGGGAATGGGCTCAGCCGGACGAGCCCTGGGGACGGGGGCAGAGACGCGGCCACCACCTCTGCCCCCACGGTGCCCATTGGCCCCCGCCAGGTTGGTGGCCCCCGGGGAGGACGGCTCTGCCCCAGGCGTCGAGCCGCTTCAGAGTCCAGCGCACACAGCAACGCTTTTCCCCTTGCATGTGGCTTGGGCTGAATTTGCTCTGGAAGGGTGAAAGCCTTATTGTAAGCTTTCCAGCCACTGGAATTCCTCTCCGAGGGGCCAAGGTCAATGTCACTGCAAAAACCCGGGGGGAAAAGCCTGGGAAGCCCCTTTCTGCGCTGCTGCCTGCCCTCTCCTGCCTGGGTGCGTGGCCGTGCAGCCGGCGGCCGCTGGACCCTGCCCGCAGGATGCTCGGTTCCTCCCGAACACCGGCCGGCCAGACACCTCCGGCACCAAACTCTGCCAGCTCCCCAGAGAGGCGGATTTCAGCCCTGGGGCCGCGGACAAAAAGCCCCAGTTATAAAAATCCCAGGTTAAGCAAACAGGAAGGCGCAGCCTCGTGCGTCGGCGCTGCCAGGCCGGGGCCCATTAAAACAAGACCTGTTTAAACGTGGTGGGGCTGGCGGCAGACTTGTTGACTCCGGCCGCCTTTCCAACCCGGCCGGTGCCGCCCGGGTGACCCACGAGCATCGGCAGCGATGGGACATGGGACAGGGCGGCCACACAGGGCTGCGCTTGTCCTCGGGGCTGAGTCACGGAGCCCACACGGCAGCTCCAGCAAGGAGCTATTTCGGGTTTCTCAGTAAAGCTGTGGTTTTCTGCAGTTGCAAGCCTGATACAACGGGGTTTTATCCGTTACACAGGTTGCTTTGATCTTTTTTTTTTTTCCCTGCAAGAAGAAACGTGTGCAGCAGAATGTGCTAACAAGCAATCAATTATTATAAACTACCCCGGCCAGTTGCTGGCTGTTTCAGACGCCATCCACCTTCGTGCTCTCATTTCCCTCCCATCACTGTGATTTGGGCTCACCGAGCAAAACCCACGTGGTGGGACAATTCGGGGTGATTTTAAACACAGACCGAGATGAGGGGAGACTCCAAAGCAAACAGGAGGGACAGGGGACATTCAGGGTGAGGTCCCAGGGTGTCTTCCCCAGCCTGGGGGCACTGCCCAGCCCCGGCTTGCCGTGCTGCCCCGGGGACGAACTGCGGGATAGCGGGACTGTGCCTGGCGGGCAGGACACGTAGCTCAGCCCGGTCATTAACCTGCAGTGAGAAGGCAGTGACCGGGCCCTTCCCAGGGCGACAGCAAGGGCAGTGTGGGGACAGCTATGCTGGGAATAAAGCAGCTTTGATGGCTCAGTGCTGGCGGCGCACGTGGGGATGGAATGGGATGGAGGAGCGGTGCCCCGTGCCGGGCCAGCATCAGCTCTGCACGAGCCGGCTGCGGAGCAGGACTTGGCTGCTCTGCCCGATGCCAGATCCCAGGGAACCTGTGAGCCCCGGGGGGCACCGGCTGAGGCAGGAGACCGCCCCGAAATCTCCCCTTGCACCTCTGCAGCCATCACACAATGCAATGGGGTTGGGGAAAGCAACACTAACACCTACCCAAAACTAATCACAGTATTTGTTCACCTTTTTCCCAAATTCTAGAGCTGACGATTTCCGAACGGAGCAGCCTGGCAAAAGAAATCCATCAGGCAAGGCCATGGTGAGAAGGTTGAACAGAAAGAAACAGAAAGATGAGAAAAACCAGACCACAACAGCAGGTGGACAGGTTGGCTGGGAACCTTCTGTAAAATATGTGTAAACAAGGATGCGGATAAAAAACACAGAGAGAGGCAAGACATGTAGTTTGGAAGGAACATGACCGCTCTCCCTCTTCTCCAGCCGGTCCCTCTTGACCTTGCTCGTCTTTCTCCATCAGTCCCGCACGGGGTAAGGCCAATTCCTGTCTTCATAAAACTTCTTCAGGCCCTGGAGGTTGACAGGAGGGAAGTAAGGGCCGATCCTCTTCCGAATCCACCACCTCCCCTCGCTGGCGTGCTTTCCCCCAGGTCGGCTGAATTTGTACTTGAAGTGTTCCCCTCTGATCCACCTGCAGAGAAACAAAGCACAGCCTGCTCAGGAGGGGCTGGCACCGCTGCCGGGCGGAGGTGGAAAGGCGCCGGACCCTATTTACAGTCCCCTGGGAGTGGAGTTTTTGAGCCTTTCCGTAGCTGGATGGAGAAATCAGCTCGAGGGTGCTCAACCTGGCTGGCTCCCGCATCCCGGTGCCCCATCCATCCCCGGCGGCAGCGATGCAGCCGTCCCTGCTGGAACGAGGCACCGGGGAGCTCCCAGGCTCCTCTTGATGCAATTTTGGAACAATGCACAAGGCAGAGGAGCTTTAACACCCCCGCCCTGTGTGCTCCCCACTGCCACCGTGCGCTCCACACCCCTCTCTACAACCAAGTTTGAAAGAATAATAATAAAAGCAGGAAATTTTTTTTTTTTCTTTTCTGAGAGCAACTATGGAGTATTTCTGCCCGGGACATTTTTAGGTACAGTGCCCGACTCCCGCCCCAGCTCCCCCAGCATCCCTCCGCCCCAGCCAGCGGCTGCTCCTTCTGCTCCGCAGCTTATTAGCGAGGCTACGAGCGCATCTGTTTTCTGGCCGCCCTGGGAGCTGACAGAAAAGGAGATTTTAAAACAGTGCAGAAAGAAGCATTCATCAGTGTCGCGAAACACATTCGGCGGCTAACCATGCCGCTCGGTTCGGGAGGTTTGGTCCCGCTTGATGTAGGGCATGCTGACAAGAGAAGGAGTAACACCCCGGTCCTCCAGCGTTGTGGTCCCTGTTTGCAGAGTGCATCGCTGCATTTGCTGGATAAGTTCATAAAATAACCCACAATATAAAAATGTCAAAGTCATGTCAATGCTCATTTAAACCTGCTTTGCTTCACTACTAAAATACAAACCCTGCTACTGAGCGGGGCACCACGCTCCTGCAGCTGCTCGCTCCCGGGGCTGCACCTCGGGCAGCCGTAAAATTCCTTCCTACTGCTAAAATAATTAGGGACAACTCCTATATATTTGCCATTAGCGCTCACCTTCGTAACACCGGCACTCTGACGGGAAGCAGGGGAGATTGCAGATGACGGATAAAACTGCACCCCATTAAAAGGTCTGCTGCAATCGCATCTCGACATCTCAATTTAAATCTTGCTGGGTACCCAGATGAGCAATACAGAAACAATTCTCCTAACAAAACACATTAACACGGAGCTGTTCATCACGCCCGTTGCTTGCTGCTGACTTGCAGCAACCGGCAGTATCATCTGTTTTCTGATTGTCTCCTGGCTGGAATGAAAATAGGACCAATATCTCCAAGTTTCCCCCTCTGCTGAGGACGAAGCGGGGATCCAAGGAAGCCCGGAGTAATGCGTTTGGAGCTGCGCTGGGACAGCTCTAATTTAAACTACTGGTAAGGGCTGGGTGCCAAGGGAAGCGTGGGGATGGAGGTGTCCCCGATGCCGTACCGCTCCCCGGCAGAGCCTCCCGGGCTGCCCTGGCACCCCGCCTCGCTGCCCGTCGATGGGGGGGGGCTGCAGGGAGGCAGGATGCCAGCCCTCAAATACGGGAAGGTAAATGGGCAGAAGAGGGGGGCAATGCCACAGCCCTGGCTGGGAGCTCGGGGTGCACAAACCTGCACCTCATCACCATAAATGCTGCCCTGCAGCTGCTGGCTTCATTACAGCCAGGGCCATTTCTACACCCTCTTCCCCCCCCCCCCACCCCCCCCCCCTTTTCTGAGGCTGGTAAAAGTCAAACGGGGGCTGCAGTGTTACTCCCACAGTGTTTGCTTCGCAGGAGCACAAAATTTCCTGTTAATAATTAGAGCGTTACTGAACAGCAACGTTCCTGCGGGTCCAGGTAGCCTGCAGGCTCCTGTCCGGGATGGTTAGAGATTTCCAAGCTGTGCTGCTTGATTGCTTTCTTGAATTCAAAATCCATATCCACCTCCCAAAAAAGCTTCAGTGGCTGATTTTATGTCAGTCCCTCTCCCGCTGGGAGCCTCCCTCCGCCTGCAAACACCAGTGCTTTTGGGCGTTTTTCTTCACTAAGCGACTGCAGAGCATCTACCAAGCTGGACCCGTCTCCACGTACGCCCACAATATGGGTATAACGGGGTGCCCCACGCTGAAGGAGCTATCTGCAAACCCCGTCTGCCAAAGTTCCCATTTTCTAGACGGGGATGCAGGGCGCAGAGAGCAGTTGACTTATCTGAGCTCCCAGCACAGACCTAGGAGACCTCAGGAGATGCCAGGTCTCTGCTCAGACACAGAAGCACCTTCTCCCCAACCTCAAGGACTGTCCTATAACCCCTCTGGAATGAAAATTTCCTTGTCCCTTTCGAATGGCTTGCCTGCCCAGATTAAATAATATCTATCATCTGATGTGGTATGATTTTTCCCATATGTTCTCTGTCTATTAAAACGCTTGCTATCAAAGGGATTGGCATGTAAAACTAGAACCGTGTGAGCATTAAAGCAACCACATGCAACTGAAGATGCATTTTTGTGGCATAAAGTTTGCCTTTCTATCTGACTATGTTTCAGGCTCTTCTGTTCAGAGCCTAAATCAATCTGAAGAGTCCCCCCAAGCCCCCCAATCTCTAAATTCAGCCACCCTCTTGTCCCAGCCACGGTCACTCTGCTTCCCCCAGCCCGCTCCACCTGAGCCGTGAGCTGGAGTGTTGGGATGCATGGTCCACGTCAGGATGACAAGATCCATGCAGGAGGAACCTGCGCAGCTCCATGGGCTGTGGAGTTTGTGAACTCCATGGAGCTGAGCTCTTCCAGGAGCTGAGCCACTCACCCAGTGATGACCTATAAAGCTCCAGCACACCACAGCCCATGGCTCTTCGCCGTCCTGCACCACCAGTGCTTCTCTGGGATTCAAGACTTGAAGGTTTCCGTTCTGGTCAATGGAGGTACCAAAGAGCCTTGACACGGCTGCAGCAGCCAGCCTGTGCTGCAGGACAGAGAAACTGCA